AAACGTTCCTAATGTATCACAGTGTGTATTTCAATGTGTAGCCCTTTGTTCTTTAAGGAGGGGAGTATAAAAACTGAAGTCTAATCACGCCCTCCTCGTTCAGAATTGCCTATCTCTAATATGCTCTGGACCTTGCGCAATTAAACTTCTCTGCTAACCCCTCTGGAATTCGTAAGAGTTCTTTCGTTTTCCACAAGAAGGGAAACTTTCTTTCTCTTGCCAGAGCTATTTCTACACAGTCTTTCACTGTGCTGGAAATTTGGACCATTTTGTTCTGATTTAACTGGCAAGCCTTTAATTGCTAACCATGTGTTAAAACTTCATCAAAGAACTGCACATGATAACAGAGTGCACAAATAAGTGTAGGAGAGAAAATATGAAGGTTTTTATTGCTTTTTAAAGACTGCATCAAGTTAAAAGAATAATATCTGAAGAAATAGGTGCTTAAACAATTGATTATTCAAATGAATTGTCTTTCCATTATTATGAAATTTCCATTACTGAGTGCATGTGGAATATACAACAGTAGAACTGACCTAAAACAGTAAAACAGCAAGCATCAAGAAAAGCTAATTCATAATACATAAGCAAAAAAATCTATTTTTAGAAATTACACCCCCCCCATTCCATCAAGTAAACATGAATGTCAGGATTTCCAAAGCCTTCAAGTAAACACTGTGCAGTCATAAAAAAAGAACAAAAGGAATCAAAACCTATCGAGTGGGGATTTTTTCTGTAGCAAACAACAAAATTAGAATTATTGCCCTAAATTTGTCTTGTAGTTTCAACACCAACAAAAAGAAATGAGAATCTTTCAAAGTATTCCACAACAATCAATGTGATGTAAAAACAAAGTGCCAAATTCTGGGGGACTAGCTTTGAACTTTTTCCTACTTATAGAAATGATCCATTTGTGTCTTTTGCTGAGTTTCTTAATTGGTTTGAAGGCAAGGTAAGGCTAATAGAACTTTATTTTAGAACTATTGAGTAAATAACTCCTTATTCTATCACAGAGCTTTTCAACCTTTTCACCCATTGTACCACTTTTAGGATATGGCAATATCCAAAGTACCATCAGTTGCCTAGCAGGGTGTCAAAAACTTGATGACCCCCGCCCCAAAAAGGGAAAAAAGTGATGAAGTACAGGTAGTCCTCGACTTACAACAGTTCACTTAGTGACTGTTCGAAGTTACAACGGCACTGAAAAAAGTGCCCCCCCAACCCACAGCCGAGCAAGACACTTGCCTGCCCACCCGGCGGTGCTCTTCCTCCTGTCCGAGGTTTTCATTGTTGTGAGCATTTCTGTTGAGGATTGGTAGCGGGGGTGGGGTGGGGGTTGTTTGGTTTTTATTCCCCCTGTCTGCTTGGTGGTTGCAGCATGCTTTGGTCACTTCACATGACCCTGGGACACTGTGACTGTCATAAATATGAATCAGTTGCCAAGCATCTGAATGTAAATCACAAGACCCTGGAGATGCTGCAACATTCCAGTTGATCGGCGCTTCTTCTGGGCTCAGCAGAAGTGCCAGGATCAGTGCTGCTTTCCAGCTGATTGGTGCTTCTTCAGGGCTCAACAGAAGCATCAGGATCAGTGCCGAGCTCCAGCTGGAGCCTCGTGCTGATCCTGGCGCTTCCACTGAGCCCTGGCAGCCCCAAAGAAGCGCCGATCAGCTGGAAAGCGGCACTGATCCTGGCGCTTCCGCTGAGCCCTGACAGCCCTGCATCTTGTGCAGTGCTGCCACCAGTTCAGCTCATTCCCCTCCCCTGCTACCACTTTTCTAGGATGGTCGCGTACCACCTGACAGGTGCCAATGTAGCACAGGTGGTACCCGTACCACTGGTTGAAAAGCCCTGTTCTATCATCTAGCTAGCTAGCTAGCTAGCTCTGTCTTCATCTATCTATAATATATATCCCAGTATTCCTCAGAAGCTTCCATGAGGATCACTTTTCATTTTATTCCTGCATGACAACTATGGGAAGTTGGTTGAGCTGAGAGAAAAATGAAATAAAGTCATACTGTGTGTTTCCAAAGCAGAGGATGCAGCTGAACTTGGCTCTCCCCAATTCTCTCCCAATACCCCAACTTCTACCCCACTGAGCAGGCGTGTCCAGGCCATGGTCTGTAGGCTGCATATATCCCTGGGCAGTTAGTAATGCAGTCCCACAAGATATAATAAAATATATTTTAAGAGGAAGTTTATATATTTTATATGTGGCCCAAGATAATTCCTCTTCACTCAGTGTAGCCCAGGCAAGCCAAAAGATTGGACATCCATGCCATAGAAGCTTCATTTGTTGAGCTGCAGTTTGGTGAATTACATGAGAACTTAGTGAGGATGGTGTTGGTAATTTTTTGCTATGGAAGTGGGGTGAATTTATAATCATATATTTGACCTTCTTACATTGTCAGTCATGGTAGATAAGTAACAGTTGCTGGAAGGGCTGCCTACAGAAGTCAACCTTGGATTAGAATTTGGTTACGTGTCTCAGCAAGTGACAGCATATGGCTGACCTTCTCTGGATTTAGAACCTAAGCTTGGATGGGCCCTGTTTAATACTTGGAAATGTGATCACCAAGGACTTCCAGGCAGAGAAAGCAAAACATCCTAGGTGGCAAATAATTCCTCTGTGTGCGTGGATGTGGCCAAACATTCACAGAAGATCCCTTGCTGATCTTCAAGTGCTTTTAAATGAGAAATGGTGTTATTAGAAAACAGCTTGTAGCATGTTAAATGAGCAGAGTGTTTTGCAATGGTACCGTCCTGTATCTGTTTATTCCTGTGAGGTTCAGTAGGACTTTCACCAAGTGGCAATATATTGGATTGCATGATTTCAGATTCCCAATACTTTCATGTAATAGTCTGTTACATTCTCATTTCCATATAATTCATTTGATTTCTTGGATTATACTGTATTTACTTGTTTTTAGAAGTCATTTGATTGTATTTGGACATTATAGAAAAATATCCAATAGATTGTATAAGTATTAATTTTATATAAAATCATGGAAGCATAGGACTGGAATGGACCTTGGAAGTCTTTTAGTCCAACCCCTTGCCCAAGGCGGGAGACCTTATACCAGAGGTCCTCAACCTTGGCAACGTTAAGACTTGTGGACTTCAACTCCCAGGATTCCTCAGCCAGCAAAGCTGGCTGAGGAATCCTGGGAGTTGAAGTCCACAAGTCTTAACGTTGCCAAAGTTGAGGACCCCTGCCTTATACCATTTTGTACAAATGGTTGTCCAATCTTTTCTTGAAAATTTCTAGCAATGGAGCAACCACAATTCCAGCTGTTCCATTAATTGTTCTCACTATCAGAAAAAAATTCCTTACTTCCAGGTTTGATCTCTATTTTAATAGGTTTTCTGGCTCACATGATATTTTCCTCTCTGCTGTAGATTTGTATCCAAAATGTATACAGCTGTAAAAAAATAATCCATTTTTCTACAAGCAACAAGAGTTTTCTTTTTCTGTGTATACCTTAGGCTATTCTCTTTCTCTCTCAATCTTTTGTTTTTTTTCCAGATCATTTCCGTTTGACCAAACTTATAGAAGATTTTGTAACTAGCAATAGTCCATTTCTAGTGCTTTCCTTTTATGAGGCTAAGGGTTTCGTATATATTTGGCACACAATTCAGCAGAAACCTGCTTAAACCCATTCACATCTAGTCTGCATACAGTATATCTGACATGTGTCATATCACATCATGAACTTTTATGCAAACATTATTCAAGTGTCAAATTCTTTTATCTTTAGCAACAGTATGTTATCCTGTATTTTTTCTAGGATGCTGCTTATAAGCGCTATGTGCTTAGAGCTCAAAGCATTGTTAGAGACCCTACAGGCCTACTTTATGGTCTGTTTCTGTTGCTCCCCTCTGGGAGGAGGTTTGAAGTATTTCTAGCAGGATTACCTGATTCTGTAATAGCTTTGTTCATGCCATCTGTCTGGTAAACTCACAAGATTCATTTTTCTAGCCATGCACATGTATACATAATCCGAACTAGACTGTGTTGTTTCTCTGTGTCATATAATATATGTGGGTATATGCATAATTCTGTATTTATTTTTGTCATATTTATGTAGTGTATTTTGGAGGTGGTGACCTTTTGAGAGCTGTATGCAACGAAATTTCATTTTAATGTATGCCAATTAGTATACATTCAAAGTGACAATAAAGTTATTATTCTATTCTATTCTACTCTACTCTACTCTACTCTACTCTACTCTATTCCTGATTTCTATAGCACAACATGTCTTTTTATAGTGCAACACTTGAATTTAAGCCATTGACAATGGTTATGCTGCAGATGGTATTATTAAAAAATGCAGCACAGATTCAATTACATATTGAAGCATATACTATATATAGAGAGAGATGGGATTTATGGACATTTTAGGAAACTCATAAATGACATAATAACAAATGATTATGCAATCTGTGTAGTACACTGCTATGGAAAGTGCTGATCTACTCCTAATGAGGGAAAATGTGACATTTTGGGCTTCCAAATAAGACAGTAATCACAGATGTTTGAAATCTTCAACAGGCCTCCGCAACTGCTGGTTGAACATGTTGACTTCTAAACTAAACTGCTTCTCGGGCTCAAGGCTGGCAGAAACTGGATAGTGCAGGTTTTTAACAGTACTGGAAATAATAGTATTTTTGTAGAGATTAAGGATAATTAATTTGCCAAAAAAGCTGGGAAATGTTTTCCATTTTTAATTAATAAAATCAAGATTTTTAGCCAACTTTAGCCATATCTGGAAGGTGTTAGCCTGGTAACAGCTTTCCCAATACAATATGCATAGAGCCAGTCATGTGCTTATCAACTTGCTCTGTGTTTATTCAATAAAAATCAGTCAATGCTCAGATCAAGCACTGGCAACCTGCATTTAGAGATGTATGGATTCATTTCATGAGTAGATTTACTTGTTCATAATGCAGTCTGATATGCAAATGTGAAATATCCCATGTATTGATATCTCAATCTCATAAATGATAGGGGTATACTGTTCATCGGATTTGCCACACAGTGGAAAAAATATTCCAGATTTTAATTGTATATATGTTATACAGTATATATTTGCAACTGTGGCTGAGTTTAACACATTGTGTTAAGATATAAAACATGGCTTACATAATACAGGGTCTGAGTTCATGCATCATGCTAAGCTATAGCAAACCACCACATTATAATTACATACAGTCTCTGAACCCAACCCACCCAGAAAGTTTAAAAGCATGAAATGGGACATCTAATTCATACCCATGTCGGCACCATGTAGCTCAACTCACACAAGCCAGAAATATGTGTATTACATATGATACACAGCTTTCTCAATCAAATATACCTTGATATGTGCCCCAGAAAACTGCATGAAGAAATATTATGCAGTTTTCTGGGGCACATATCAAGGTATATTTGATTGAGAAAAGAGGCAACTCTTTTTCCTTTTATTCAAACATATAATTGATCCAAATAATTCTTCAAATCCAGATTCAGTAATTATGCCTCATCACCACTCTGCATATATTGTGTATGCTTTTAGTTATCAGGAGTTTACTATTCCTTTGTGCCACATGAATAATATAAACATGTATATTTTTTTCTTTTGGTTCTTCCTTTTGATTTATATCATCTTCTCTGTATCTAGTGCCCTAGGCTTAATGACTATTTTCAATATGCTGTCAGGAACTCCTGAATTTTTTAAAAGCAACAGGTGGATTCTAGCTTACAATAAACTTACATAGGATATATATATGAAAAGCTAATCCATTAAACTTTTGTATTTTAAAGAAAAGCATCTGTAACTGTTCCTGAAACTTAAAATAATTTTCCCATTGTATTATTTGGCCATGCATAACAGAACCAAAAAATATAATAATTTATCTGTAGTTTCATTTCAGACAGTCCATAGCACAAATCTGATTTTATAACTGTATATTTACATACATTCTTTATTTCTTCATGGATGTACTTGCAATTTTATATGGAGTTCAAAGTATTGGTTGCAGTTACTCTTCATAGATAGATCTACAAAAACTTATATGTACACTTGAAAATTTAATGTGTGAAAAGACTCAGTAATTCCATTGTTATTTCAAGAAATTTTTAAAATGATAGATTGTACATTTATAGATTTGTACATACACGCCAATAATATGTATTCCTGCTTTTAATCTTTTTCTTTTCAACTCACCTTGGTGTCATCTTCAGTAGTTGGATTTGTTACTGGAAGTGAAATTACTAAGAAAGAGAGAAGAGAAAGAATGACTTTAATATTTCACATTCTCTTTGGCAGTTTCAATCAGAATGCATAACAGATTTGGGGTGTGAAGAAAACCAGTATAGAGGTACACAAGAGACCATAAACCAGACCAGTAGTATATAAAACCAGCATCAGACATGTGCTCACCTTTTGGGTTTAAAAACAGTTGCTACTAAAAAAAAAGATCGGACGAACTGAGCTGATGATTGTATGGAGGAATCACTCTGAAATCAACTGAGGAATTTGACTAGCCAATGGAACCATGGTTCGTAAGTGAACTACACGGGATCCAAAGAGGCAAATATAGCAGTAACTGAGAAAAACGGGCATATCATAAGGCTGAAGATTAGAATTGCAATTTCTTTTGGTTCGTAAAAATAAAACTCTTTGCCCAAGCAGTGCTTTGCCGTTTTGGAACGATAAAAAAAGTTTGAGCAAATGGGACCTTGACATTCAGTGAAGATCACTGGCAATAGCCTAACGAAGTCGCTCCATTTCCTACCCCTGAACTTCATCATCTTCTTTGCAGACCAGGCCTTCTGGTCCGAATATAGGCGCTGAACGGCATGCATGCAGGCACATTGGCTAGTCAGGGCAATCGCCTCGGCGGCTCTGTCCTTGGTGCTGAAAAGGGCAGCGCCTCCGCGCAAGTTCTCCCACCTGCCTTTTGAGCTTACCTGGGGCTACCAAGAGGAAGGCTGCGAAAGCCGCCGCGCGAGTCATTCCGCTGGCCATACGGGCTGCAGGGCGAAGGGTGGGGCCGTCCGGCTGCGCTTCTTGGCTTTGTCGGCGGGGCAAATCGATGGGAGCGGGGCCTGGCTTCTGAGAAGCGATCGGCGCTGACCTTGACCGAGCGCTGAGCCGCGAAATAGATTACCCGCTCTCCTCCTTGCCCTTCCCAAGATCCTCTGCCTTCTCGAAAGCGGTTGCCGACAATCCCCGACCGAGGGACTGCAGCAGCAACCTGGCTTATATATTCGCCCCCCTCGCCTCCGGAAACGGCGTCAGGAGGAAGCTCACTCCCCCCTCCCAGGAAGGCGCCGTCCAATCGCTCCTCTGCGGGGGACTGCGGAGCCAGAAGGAGGTCAAACGGTCCCGTCGCCTGATCACCTAAGCAAAGGACAAGGCGGGGCTCGCCAGCTTACAGCATCTGGAAGAAAGAGGCAGGCAACAGCAAGTTCGATCGCTCGCTTTCCGCGCTGTAAAAGGCGCGCAGATGTTTCTTCCCATGTGGGCCATCTCCGGTGCTGGATAAGATCGGAGATGAAAGCTCAGCCCATCACACCTGGAAACCCGCAAGGGAAGGCAGGATGTCTTCTGAAGCATCTTTAGGATTCTGCGCTTGATGCTTTTTAGGATGACATTTTGGTGTAGTGAACGGCTGATCCACTCACCAAGGGGTGGGGGAGCTGTGAAGGAGGCACCTTATCATCTAAATCAGCGGTTCTCAACCTATGGGTCGCGACCCCATTTGGGGTCGATTGACCATTTCACGGGGGTCGCCAAGCAAGGCTGTCTGCCATTTTTCCCCCCCTTTTCCGGCGGGTGCCTTACCTCCCTTGAGCTGGGCCAGCTGGTGGTCGGCTTGCTCCGTCTCTGCCGCTTGCCAGCTACGCCTCGGCCGGCGCAGGGGACGGAACCACGCATGCGTGGCGCTCCCGGGCAGGGAAAGTCCTCGACTTACGACTGGTTGGGTAGTCCTCGACTTACGACCGGTTTAGTCCTCGACTTACGACCGGTTTAGTCCTCGACTTACGACCGGTTGGGGGTCGCAGCATTAAAAAGGTTGAGAACCACTGATCTAAATATATGGGAGCTTTTAAGATCATTAGGAACTCAATTGGGTCAGTCATTTATAGAAATCACTTCAGATGTAATTACTAATCCAATTGGCATTTCATCTTGACTCATTTAGGAAGCAATCCTCTGAAACTGATTTGGGCTCTTATTTTTTTGTAAAATTGCTTCTTCTGAACTTCATAAAGTTCCTTGCCGAATCACATTCAATTGATGTGTCATTATTGCCCAGGTTTAATTTAGTTTAATTTAGTTTATTGCACTTAGAGTGCAATAATATTTGTCACTTAGCAAAGTAGACCCTAACCTTTAATTCTGCATAATTCTGCCATTAGAGCCATGAAATAGTGTAAAGAAGTCCTTTTTAGCTCAGATCTATGACTGACAAATCTCTCAACTTCACTAACTGATTCCAAATTCTCATAGATCTGCGCTGGATTGAATGAGATTGGCACTGGTTTCCCCAATCAGTAAAATATTGTACCTGATGGATATAAAACCTAGGAGCCTTGGTTTTGTTAAATCAGTCAACTGAACAATCTTTAACAATAGTTAAATAAACCAATGATTCTTCCAACTGATCATGCTGATTGATTACTATTATCCTTCTGTTTGCTTTATTAAGCAGGAGCCCATTTTAACTAACCTGAACAGTGATCTTTTGTTCAAACAATCACGGCTTGGATATCTTGTTCCCACATATACAGTATTTAATGTGCTTATCTTTGCACAGTACTATTGGAAACTCAGATGTGTGAAATCTGACGTTGTTGCAACAGCTGTCATGCTATATTGTTCTTGATCTGCAAGCAAACAAAACCTGGGTTTTTAATTAAAATGAGTGTTCCTTAAAACTCAATCGAGGGCTAGTAAATTAAGCTAGCTTACTTATTTCAAATGCGAACATGATTTTAAAAAATTGAAGAATATATATGGTTAACATAAATATTACTGTATCAGAAAATTGTCCTTTGTCCATATTTCAGGCAATATTAAAAATATTTTAACATTGCTTGAAATATGAGTAGACGTTGCTGTTTATAGAAAGGACAATAACTCAGAGGGGTACATATGTTTTGTATGTACAAATTTGGTCTTATTACATATCCAAAAGTCGGTTTTTAATTATATTTCATAAACTATGCACATGCACACATGTTCAGAAAAAGAAATTTCACAGTTCAATTATGCGCAAAAACTACTTCCTAGGATTCCATATTTTTTATCTTCATATCTTCTTACCTAAAAGTCATGAGAATGAGATCATGTTAATTAGTTGAAGAATCTGTAAGTGGATGAAAATCAGGCTACAATGCCTCTCATCAAATGTTATATTTCTCCAACTAATAATGAAAGAAAATTTCAGTTCTTATAAATCTACCAAAGTGATATCAAGCATTCTAGAGGATTGAACATATTAGCACTGGTCATAATATAATTGTTTACAAACTTTAGTCTTTACTTAATTAACAATTGTTATGGGCATTGGGAGGCTTTTAAAGAAAAATGTAGCTAAACCGTATTATTAGACAAGTGAAAAGTTACATCTTTACCCTATTAAATCTGAAGCACCACTTTAATATGCCCAATATTTCTGGCCCAAACTGAGGTTGACTTTGATTTTTGTTCTTGGATCAAACACTATTAAATGCTAGAAAAACTGTTAGAGTTAGGGTTGGAAACTAACAAGCCATGCCTGGTTGCAACCTGCCACACTAACAAGTATTAATTTATTCTGCAAATACCAGCCCCATGTTTGCGCTACATCTTGCTTAGCTTGTTGAGCAGACACATTCATATATGTGCCTGCGGCTTTTTCTGCATGAGTCAGAACTCTGAAAAAGCAGTCCGTTATAGGCCATTTATTATTCAGCAGTGACTGAATGATATGCTATCAAGCTGGTATCAGCTCTTAGCAACTACACAGATTTTCTCTAGGATGATCTGTCCCCAATCTGGTCCTTCAGGTCTTCCAATAGGGCCATATCACCATAGTGTAATCTGTTATGAGAAAGTGATTCTGTTTGATTACTCTATGTCAGCTCTCACAAATGTATCAGGGCTGCATAATCTGGAATTCCATTTCTCAGTGTCTCTTGGAGTGGGGTGGCCATAGCACATCATCATCATCATCATCATCACCATGGTCAACTCCTGGAATTGTAACTCTGGGGAAGACATAGGCTGTAACAGCTGTAGATGTTTTAAATCATATTTAAACTACTTTACTTATTGCTATCGTATAAACTTGAAAGGTTGTTTTTTTTCACATATTGATGCTCTGAATCCTGCTCACCCCCTACAAAAGCATCTGTAATAATAATGAAACTAGAGGTCTGTGAAGCTAACCATGTGAGGTGTCTCCACTGAAAAACTGTCCTTTTCATATGCAGTACTGTAAAATAAGTTTCTCAAACCACAAGTTGAGTCCACCTCATCGATCTTTTGGCAACGAGTGCTAAAATGTGTACCTTGTATTCTTGAAGAAAATGGCCTAAGAAAAAACTTGCAGGCAGATTGGAATGAGCAACTAAGTACAGCAGTCCCCGTAAATCTTATCATTTGAAATTGTGCCCAAAATAGAGCAATGCTGTTAAATGATGGTGAGCAGTAACCTTGTTTGTCCTTGTAAGAGGGGCCCTCCGTTCACTTTAATTACAGTAAGTGCTGATGTAATGGTTAAGAAAGATACTGAAGGTATATGATATCCATGCTCAGAAGAAATAACATTCAGCAGTCAATCTAATGAGACTGTTATCTATTATCCAGCCAAGGATGAGGAAGAATATTTATATCTCTTTGTTAAAATAAACAAATAAAAAAAGAACCATGAGAGGTTTTGTGTCCTTTGAGCCATGATAAAATCAGTATTAAAAATGCCAGATGCCCCACAATTTAATTTATCAAAGTAGTTTAGAGGATATGTTTGGATGAATGAAGGTGCGTTTGTTTGATAGGAAAAGGTTTTGTAGATTCTGTGATGAAGTTTGCACGCCACTCTCAACCCTGATTGCACAATGTGAGCAAATGTTTATTCTTAACCATAGCTTAGGGACATGATTTATTCTTTGGCCAAAATGAAGCCCAGTTTGCTTTGGCCAAATAGAACAGAATACAGAATATATTCCATGGAGAATATAGAAGAAAACAACATCCCCACCAACACTGACAGGGCAAGCTACTGTATGTAAACAGGGAGCAAACCCCACTCCCTTCTAGACTGAAGCTATTACTTAACCTGGTAACAAAATACCTGCAAACAAACCACCAAGCTCAGAGAGCACCAAGGACTCCATAAAGCCCACTTAGCCAGATTTATTTTATTTTTCTAAGTACCGCAATCATGAGCAGAGAGAATGGTGAATAGAAAGTTTTTAGAGTGTCCTGCCAGATTTTATTGTCCTTTAACTCCTAATCCCCATATAGATATCGGCTATTTATTTATAAAACTTTTTTTTTCTTTCTAAGTTTTTTATTTATAATACAATTAAAACAAAAATGGACATACGTGGCATTCCAGAGTAAATATTCCTAACAATTTGTTTCTCGTGATACAAAAACTTAATACATCATCCTTAACCTCTATATACACCTCATTCTTCTACACAATACAATTATATATACAATTATATGTACAATTAAATGTATGTTTCAATCCTATCGTTAGCTTAAGATCCGAGCGGTTCTCCTTGATTCATACCAGCGGTAAAATTTGTCCCAGATTTCGAAATATTCCAGTTCTGTCTTATCTTTCATAGCCATTGTAAGCCTGTCCATCTCTGCACATGATAAAATTTTATACAGGATTTCTTCTTCCATTGGAATTCCCTTATTCCTCCAGTTTTGAGCATAAACCAATCTGGAAGCCGTTAGGATGTGTAGCATCAAATAGAGTACGCCTTTGTCATACTTCTGCGTTGTTATAC